TTGTCACGGTGACGACCACGCGCGCGTGTGTGTGTGCGCGCGCGTGTGTGAGTGTGCGTGTGCGTGTGCGTGCATGTGTGTGTCTGTGCGTGCGTGCAGGTGCATGTGTGTGTGTGTGTTTGTGTGTGTGTGTGCATGGGTTTTGTCATCTCACCCGCAACCTTTGACACCGTCATGTCCACACAGATTGAGGTCCTGGACGCTTTTCTGCAACCCATTGCTCCTGGGCCCAACACGTGGCTGCTCGCTGTCAACGACGCGTTCGATGCACACACACACGAGCTGCTGACTTCTGGCCCTGCCAACACCACCGACGCCGCGCACATGTGGCTTTGTGAGTTTCCATGTGGACAAATTCGAGACACGGGTCCAGTGCAACTGTGCATGTGTGTATTTGTGTGTGTTGTGTATTTGTGTGTGCTTGTGGGTGTCCGTGTTTAATGTGTGTGTGTGTGTGTTGTGTACTTGTGTGTGCTTGTGGGTGTCCGTGTTTAATGTGTGTGTGTGCATGCTTGTGTGCTTGTGTGCATACATGTTTAATGTGCACGCGTGCGTGTGTATTGGTTGCCTTTATCTGTTCTCGCAAACATGTTGCGCTCACAACCATCCCCACCTGCTTGCGCCTGTTTGCCAGATCACGTGCAGGACGACGCGTGGCCTGCGCTGCGGCTTCGGTTCGAGGCCTCGCTGTCGCCCTCCACAATCCGCATCGTCAACTACAACCGGCCCAACTGCGAAACGAACGGCGTGCACACGATTGCCATTGAGGACGACGCAGGTGCCTTGCTCTGGTCCGGCCAACTCACAAAGGTAACAAACACATCGCGTGCTGATTTGGCGGAGGGGAGGTGAGGGGAGACTGTGAGCCTCACATCGACTCGCTGCTGCTGTTGTTGGTTGGTTATTGGAGGTTCAATTGTTGTCGTGCGTTTTCGCTGATGCTCGTGGCACGGTGGCGATGTACTAAACACGCCACGACCACACGCATCCCATGGCATCGCAACACTGCAGGGAACGGGGCGACGCAACAAACCGCCGATTGTGGAGGCCGAGCTGTCGTGGCCGTCGCCAGCAGAGGAGGATGGTGATGGTGATGGCGATGATGATGATGATGATGATGATGATGGTGGTGGCGGGGATGAGGTGGACGCAGCCGCAACGGGTGAAGCGGAGAAGAACATCGGCGGTGGGGATCATGCCACTGGCAACGCGGATACAGCAACACCGCCTGCACCACAACACCAACATGCCGGCACGACGGGAACGGCAACGGCTGGGCGATCGCCGGCGCCGCTGCACCGCGGGTTGCGGTCGTCGAGTGCACGCGTGTCGCGCCCGCCGCCACCCTGGATCCCAACAGCGGACGGCCCTGTAGCCGCCACTCCCGGCAGTGGCGACGACGATGGCGAGCGGGTGCACGTGCGGTCGTCGAGTGCGCGGACACCAACTCGCGCGCGCCCGGCGAGTGGACGGCGGGTGTCGTCGCCGGCGCTGTGGCTGAAGCGCGCGCCACTGCAGCGAGCAGCGTCGGGGTCCCTGCTCAGGGAGCTGGAGGGGGCGACTGGCAATGACGGTGGTGGCGGTGGTCATCGTGATAGCAGCAGTGGCAGAGGCAGTCGTCCCGTGTCGCGATTGTCTGTGAAGGCGGCAGCGGCAGCAGTGCTGGTGCCGGAGCTGGAGAGGAAGCAAGACAACGTCAGTGGCGATGAACAGGGCGCATTTACAGCACACAGACGCCCTCCTGATGAACAACAACAACAACAACAACAACAACAACAACAACAACAACAACAACAACAACAACAACAACAACAACAACAACAACAACAACAGCAACAACAACAACAACAACAACAACAACAACAACAACAACAACAACAACAACAACAACAACAACAGCCTCGTGCGCCGCGTGCGTCCCAGGCGCGCCAGACCACGGCCACCACGGCGAGTGTGGGCGGGCGCGGTGATGACGGCGCGATGGAGCGATCAATGGACGGACTGAACGCGTTTCGGAAGCTGCAGGCGTCGCGAATTGATGCGCCGGACTTCCAGCAGATGCTCAACACGAGCCTGAGCCAAGAGTTCAGAAGGCTGTGGGGAGCAGAAGAGAGGGAGGCGCATGCCACAGCGCATGGCAGCGGTGACCACGATGATGATGGTGGTGGCAAGGAGGAGAATGCCAACGCGGTCATGATGGCAAACTCGGCATTCGATAAAGTGCTGAAACAGCAGCGGCACAGACAGGACCAGCAGCCACATCAGCAGCCACAACAACGCCTACACGCGGACAATGAACGGGAAGAGATGATGGCCGAGCACGAGAGGGGTGCACACGACCACATCGATGGTGCCCAAGACCAGCTCTTTCCGCAAGACCTCACGCAACAGGAGCAAGGGAAACAACGCAGCGGAGCAGATCAAGGCTTTGAACAACAGCAGCAGGAGCAGCAGCAACATGCTGGTGACCGTTTTGGTGCTGGTGACGGCGGCGATGGTGGTGCATATGGGGTCGCTGTCTCGACAGCAGTCCCATGCGGCATCTTTGAGGAGCGGCCGATGGGCCAGCGCGTTGTGCTGCACCTGCACTCAACATGGGGTGACCCGCACTACATTGGCCTGACCGGCGTCGAAGTGTTTTCGCCCGCCGGCCATTCGCTCCGCTGCACCTCCGTCACCGCGGACCCGCCCGATCTCCGCATCATCTCTGGTTACGACCAGGACCCGCGTGTTGTTGACAACCTCGTTGACGGCACCAACTGCACCTGCGATGCCATGCACATGTGGTTGTGCCCCTGGCTTGGTCCACACCACTCCCACACCGTCACGCTCCTCTTCCCGCAGCAAACGGAGATTGGTGCTGTGCGCGTGTGGAACTACAACGAGTCGCGCACATCGTCCTACCGCGGCGTGCGCGAGCTCTCCCTGCACGTTGACGGGCGGTGCGTGTTTCGCGGGGAGATACGGCAGGCGACAGGCAGCGTCTCGACCCCACACGAGCTGTTTGAGCTGCTGCTGTTTGTGCCGCCGGCATCGGGCGTGCTGCAGGGCATCGAGGCCTTTGACGCCGTGCAGCGCGCACGTGTACGCGGCGCCAATCGTGGTGCTGGCCGTGGCGCTGGCGTCGCGGGTGGCAATGATGATGGTGGCGGAGGTGAAGGTGATGGTGAGGGCGATGGGGATGAGGACGGGTTCCTGCCGCCACGGCCCGCGACGCGCGGGGAGGATGGACCCGTTGACATCAGCGCAGACGCAGCGGCGGTGCAGCAGCTGCTGGAGGAGCTGCAGGGCGATGACGGCGGCACTGGCAATGGTTGTGCTGGTGGTACTGGGGGTGACGACGCCGCCGACGCTGGTGGTCGCGGCGACGGGGCGGAGGGCGGCTTTCAGCTGCCCGTGTTTGAGGACACGGCGTCAGGTTTTGATGAGACACCAGTTGGCGTGTCGTCATCATCACCAGCCACATCGTCGGCGGCGTCGACGTCCACGCTGCCAAAGGGTACGCGGTTTCAACTCAACTTTGTGGAGACGTGGGGCGATCCGTACTACCTTGGTCTCACCGGTCTACAGCTCATCGACGAACGTGAGTTGCCTGCAATCAATTTCTTTTTGTGCGTGCGTGCGTGTGTTTGTTTGTATGTGTGTGTGTGCGTGTGTGTGTGCGTGCGTGCGTGCGTGTGTATGTATGTGTATGTGTGTGTGACACAAGATATCATTGGATCATTCTTGTTGGTTTTCTGACTCGGCGCGTGCGTGTGTGTGTGTGTGTCGGTGCTATGCAGACGGCGGTGTGATTGCTGTGTCGATGCGCCAAGTGGAAGCGGTGCCGCGCGATTTGAATGATCTTCCAAACGTTTATGATGACGACCGCACACTCGACAAGTTGTTTGATGGCACCAACATCACCACCGATGACGAGCACATGTGGCTCATCCCCTTTACCCCCACCGGTGTGTTTGTTTTGTGTGCGTGTGTGTGCGTGTGTGTGTGTATGCCACTGTTGTCTTGCCACTCACAAATGACGCCCTATTGCTGCTGTTGTTGTTGCTCCTCTCTTCAACACGTGTGATGGGGCTGTCAGGTGACCATCTCATCACTTTCTTCTTTGATACACCGACGACCGTCAGCGCTCTCCGGTTCTACAACTACAACAAGAGCGCGGATGATATTTGTACGTCGATGCTGACTGGCTGTTTTTTCATATGTTGCGTGTACTCCCTGACACACCGATGTGCTCGCTCACATGTCAACACACATGCACACACACACATGCGCGCGCACACATATGCGCGCACACATATGCGGACACGTGCGCGTGGCAGATCGCGGAGCTAAACGGGTATTTGTGTCTGTGGATGATACGGATGTGTCACCGTCTGGCGGGTATCTCATCTGCATTGCGCCGGGCAGCGCTGCGTTTGACTTTGCCCACACCGTCTCCCTGCACCCACGACATCGCCGCTACCCGCCAGCGTCCATCCACCACAAGCAGCTCACACCGAGGTGAGGCCATGCGTGCTGTGTGCATGTGTGTGGGTGTGCGTGCGTGCGTGCGTGTGTGTGTGCATGCGTGTGTGTGTTGTGCGTGTGTTTTGTGGGTGGGTGTATGCGAGAGAAAGGGAGTGTGCGCGCGCGTTTTGTCTGTGCGTATGCTTTTGTGCTGATGCCGGTCACGTCACTGTGATTTGGGAATGCAGGTGGAACGCCACCAACTCCTACATTGTGCCGGCACCGCCGCGTGTGCTGCGTCTCTCGCTGCGCTTGATTGACACGTGGGGCGACCTCCACTACATTGGACTCAACGGCCTGCAGCTGCTCGATGCCTTTGGCGCCGAAATTCCACTCACACCGCAGAACATCCACGCCGTGCCCGAGAGGTGAGGACACTTAACGTTGCGGGGAGGGAGAGGGAGGGGTTATTGAAGTACTTCATGTCAATCAATTCACGCGTTGACTGGACCTGACGTGATTCAGTGCTGTTCCTGCAGCTGCACACAAGA